GGGCCATGCATCTTGACCTTGTAGCACCTGAACCTTCTCATCTTTCGCATCGAATATGGATACTTGCTCGACTATGATACCTCTACCTCCGAAGACATCTTTACTTCTTCTCATTCTTCTCTTCTTCATCTGTATAGCCTACTGGATTCCGTAAGCTCACTCTTTCTGATTAGCTATCGTTTTAAAACGTGTTGAAAATGGTGTTGAACTTTGAAACGCCAATTTCTCTAATTTTATCAATATCCTTCCACTCTCTGTCTAGTAGACTGCTATTCTGTTTCGTTTTCTCTTTTCTCTCGTTCAGATTGTGAGCTCTAAAACTGAGCTCCGATATGCATACATAACCAGGATCTTTCGATCCTCTGCTTCTCGCAGTTTCATTTCAGATAGATCTCGTCGATCATCTTCTGAAGTGCACTGTTGGCCCCGAGGGCTTTCCACTTTACTAACCTAGGACCTTCATCCGTCCATCTCATTTGCTCCATCCCGTCGCTCCTTGCATTCTCTCTTCGACCTAACTTTCCTAACCTTTGTAGTTGCATCATCTAGACGACCATTGTCCTCGTTCCTCATACATTACACCTGGCCATCTGATGATGATCGGATAACCATCTGATTTGAGTCACACATCCCCAATCACGAACCGTGATTGTGGATCCCGAGTCGTCTGTCCGTCATACGAAAATACCTTTCTGACATTCGCGAGTTCTCATGGAAGGTCTTCGGGTTAAAGTTAACCGCAAAGATGCGATCATCGAATCTTCGGACCGAGTTCCAGCACCAGAAAAATGATGAGAACGGTGTCCCTGTCCTTGAGACTGGATCCAAAGGTTTTGCTTGACCACAGTTGTTGTCGTCGAGCGTCAACTCTGTTTGTTAGAAAGTATTGTCTTAAGCTCTAGTATTGGATTTGATATTTAGCTTGATCGCTTTTCAAGTTGTCGAGTCTTCCCGAGGACAACAACAACAATGGCAGTTCCAATAGATACCTATATGGAAGCCAATGTTCTTCCCAACTATGAAGCTAAATGCATGGTTCTTTCGGTGGTGGTGATTGTGACTGCCGTGTTCTGGGTGGTGATATTCCCTTATGTTGCCAGTAGGCTTCTTATGGAACCCGAAGAAGTCGATACTTCCAAGAAGAAAGATACCCCTTCTACAGATACTGCCACCACTTCGTCCACCCCAAGTACCAAAGCCAAACCCTCCAATGGTATGAAAAGGAGGGGGAAATCCAACAAAAAGTCCACCACTGATGCCAACAAAAAGACTACACAGAAGGATCCGTCCCAGGCAAAAGATGAGACCCCACCGCCAGAGCCACCGTCTGTGCCGTTGCCAATATTGGCCGTGGCATCCCTAGGTTGCATGGTGTCTTTATTCTATGAGGTCATGACAATGTCACCCTACAATACCTTTGTGGCACGAGGCGTCTTTCAAGTTCCCATACTCACTGCTTTGGAATGCGAACAATTAATCAACATCTCCATGGCGGCGGCCAAAATCAACCAAGACATGGCACTCCAAGAACAACAACGGGCGGAAATTGCCGGCGAATCTTTGAATCGATCCATGGAATCTTTGCTCTGGGAACCCAAGGGATGGCAAAAGTTGCGGCATGGAAATTACCCGACAACCGACTTGAATGTCATTACGGATCCCTTTCAGAAAAAGGATTTGGACTGGTTGCAGGAAAAGTTGGATGCTCGATTGGCACCCACATTGTCACGCATTTACGGTCTTCCCGAGTCCGCCATTCGAGCCAATGATGTGAGACTTCTTGCTCAAAGTTTGTTCGTATTACAGTCTACATCCCTCGTCTGGGCTCACTCTTTGCTTGATTCAATGAATGTTGCAGATGTTTGTAGTTCGCTATGATGCAGACTTCCGAGCCAAACTTGAAAACCACACAGATGACAGCGATATCAGGTGAGTTATAATAGTTGAAGGAAATGACTCTTGTTGGCTTTCTTTTTTTTACCGTTGTTTTGTCTTGGCCGCTAACTTTATTATTTGATTGGATTCAGCATCAACGTTCTCCTCACGGATGATTTTGAAGGTGGTGGAACCCGCTTTTGGAAGCGTCACGCACAGGAACCGTTTGCGCATGTTCACCCCAATCGAGTCGGGCACATGTTGACGCACACCGCATTGCGTAAGTTGACGGATTGCTTCTTGTGCTTTCTTTGCTGCTTGTGCATTGGTTCTCTCTCATGTGTGTGGCCGTATCTGTGGTCGTGATAGTCAATCATGAGGGGATGCAGACTACCAAGGGCACTCGCATGATATTCGTGGGCTTTTTGGGTGTCGACCGCATAGACCCTTTTGCCAAAGACGACAATCGAAAACCAAAACTCAACCTGTGGGCCTCTTGGCTTTCTCTTCCATGGGTATCCACCAAATTCAAAGAGGCCTACAGCTCCATGATTCATCGAAAGGAGCATGGAGGAGTCAAATACGGCAACAACAAATACGTCGAAGCACTCTTTCTAGACCTGGCCAATGTCTTTCAAATCGTGGGTGATTTCTTTGCCGTGCATCATGTAAAGAACCTTGTGGCACCCGAGAATGCCGATCGGTTCATTAATAACCTGGATGAAGCCTATCGAGAAAGGCAGCAGAAAGAGGTCGACGACACCGCCAAGGCGACATGGTTTGCTGGTCAACAGGTCGATTTAGACTTGGATGGTACCATCACGGCAGAGTGGTCTACGCGGCGAGCCAGCAAGAATCGCTTCATGGAGCTTTAGCTAGCTACACGTCGTAGATCATGACATCATCCACAACCCACACTGCATGAGCAAGTGCTACATTTTAAAACTTAGAACATCAACATATTCCATTACAGTTCATCTTTTAAATAGCATTCATTGCAGCTTCAAGTCGGCAACGACTGGGTAGTGATCACTTGGGTACAGCGGCAGCTGACAGTCTCGTATGATTCGAGCTGATTGCACAATTTCAATCCTCTTACCATTATTTTTGTCGCTGTCATTGTTGTTCTTGATCAGTATCCAATCAATTCTTCCTAAACTGAAGGGGCATGTTTCTCCCATAAAGTTGTGATATGTATCAAGTCTTTGGCGTGTCGACGCTTTTTTGTTCGCATCCTGTATCTCGTCCTCAACAACTGTATCTTGGTAACCATTTTCTAGAAAGGTAGCATACGCTTCCGTCTCCGGACTACTTGCGTGACAGTTGAAGTCCCCCAGCACAATGTGGTGTGGAGTACTGGACATGGCCGCCAGTTGTTGCAGTATCACACATGCACATTCAGTTCTGGTTGCATCATGTCGCTCATGTGGCAAGTGTGTATTCAAGACGATACACTCGGCATTATTTGTAGATTCTTGCTTGTCCCGTAGGCAGACCCAGGTAGCCGCTCGAATCAACTTGGATTGCCATCCAATCGACTCTACGGTTGGAGTTTCACTGAGATAAAAAGACCCATGTCGTATCAGTTCGAATCGATTTCGTTTCCAATAAATGGGTACATATTCATCCTGATCGGACGAAGATCCCAAATTGCGGGTGACGTAGTTGTAGACATGGTTGGATGATGATGACCACGAGTCTTGCAAGTCTTGGAGATTCCAATTCATGGTTCGTTTGCAGGCATGACCTTTGACATGATCGTAGTCTTGGGCTAGAAAAGACTCGTCGTAGTATTGGAAGTTTCCTGATTGGACTTCTTGGAACCCAATAATGTCGGGATCACATGCTTGAATGGTCTTCAGGTTCAATTCTTTTCGATTGTTCCACACGTTGGGACCATCCTGTCGATGAAAGGACCCTCGAACATTGAATGTCAAGACGCGAATGTTGCTGCTACTAGTAGGTACAACAGATGGTGGAGATGATAGAGGACTCGTCATCGTGATGGCAAGCTTATTGGCTGTGGGCTGTTGATTGATTGTGGGTTGTGGGTTGTGGATTGTGTGTTGTGGAACGTGACGGGTTGAGCTCGAGGGCGCATGTCGGGGATTGAACTTTGTGACTGCGCAGAAGCGTCTCACTGCCGCCTGTCGGCCTTTGGTTAATTAAGAGAGAAGCTTCTAAACACCATGTGGCTGCAGAATTTGCAGCCATGCCTGCGTTGACACCGGATCCCAAACTGCAATCCATCGCTTGTTCCTTCATCTCAACACCGCAACAAACACAAGCCAATTGAAAGTTGATTTCTCGGAGACAACGAATACGATAGAACCATCACTATCGTTTGCGATGGTGCAAGCTCCAAGCACACCTACAAGGGCGACTGGTGGCACAGGTTATGTTACTGGTAGCGCTTCAAGCAATGATTCGCCTGCTGCCACCCCGAAACAGACGAAAAGGGAGCTGATCTGTCCCGGAGCCCCAGTCAAGAAACCCAGAGACGATAGTGGTAATGGTAATGGGAATCAGTCTGAACTGCCTCGAATAGCACCAAGAAGACTATTTTAAAGGTGGTGGGAGGAGCGTTTTTGGAAGTAGCAGCGCGATGACCTCCACCTCCTCGTCCACTACGATGGCTGTTGGAGGAGGGCAGGGGATCTGCACAGACCACTCAAGAAACTTCCGTACTCCGATCGAATCAATCGGAATGGAAAGATTACCATTACGATATGAACGGAAGCATCAGTTTACTCTATGTTTGCTATCGGTCGGGAACGGTTTCATTTGATTGATTCAATCTGTTTGACACAAGCGAATCACATCCAGCCCAATTCGGATACGCTGATAAAGATAACAGTCAGCCCTTCCTGAGTCATCAAACGAAAGAGCTCTCTTGATTGGCTTCATGCAGTTTTTAAGAAGTGACCAATCTTTCCAGACGCAAATCAACGGAATGAATCCACTCTATACAACCTAGCTAGGTAACACGTTCAGATTGCCCTTGTTCGGTCACTGTTGAACCAATGAACCTGTAGCAAAAACAAGTTGACAGACAGCCTATTGCAACTCCATTGATTCCCTTCTTTCCAATCTCTTCTTCCATACAAATATCTCAACCCATGACTTTAATGCTAAGTCGGATACTAGATTTGTAGATAGTTATAAATGTACTTGTAGAAGCTACCAGCCAGTATCGCTCTTCCAGCGATTTCAATAAGACTATGAAAAGAGTTTCAAAGACAGGATGACCATGGGAAGTATGTACTCTACAGTAATGTAATGACTGACACAGGTCAAGGCTGGGTTCCTGATTGATAGAGAAATAAGTGATTCAAAGCAGTGCAAGGTGAGCGTAATTGTCTAGTGCAAGTATGATAGTGTTGAGTGAGCCCATCTCAAATAAATTGCAAGGGATAAGGCACTGGCAACGGAATCAAGGCAAGGGATCGGGTGTGATGGTTACTCTGAAGTTGCGGCATGACAGAGGAGATCAGGCAGAGCAGAAAGGAGTTGTTGGCAGTCCCTTTGTCCCTTTGTTAGGTTGTTACATGTATTCTTGGCATATACCGTTTTCAAATCTAAACGTAGAACATAATTCCTTCGGGGAAAGTGTAATTAATAAGTTAACAATATTCTTGGCAGAAAGCAATTTGGGAACAGGCTTGGTCAGGGTAGTGGGGTAAACCTGCAGTTTCATTTACCCTGCAACACTTGTTCTGAAACTGTTCCTGGATTTCCCGGACTCCTTTTACATTTACAATGATACGGTACGTGTACCGGTAGCTGATACTGTATCATACCGTTACCAGAACGGAAGTCCGAATGCTGTAAACTGCTCAGACACTGTTCGCTTTGTTCTTTGTGATTGAAACATTCGTGTGCATGGCCACGAAGGGTGCTTGCTGGATGGATATCGTTGGAACACCTCTTCTCCCTTCCAAAATAGCTCGCCTTGAATGTTTGTTGCCCGCACCATTTCATTTCCCAAGTTTAGTAAATACATAACCCGTCCGAGTCTCTACGTAGTTAGAGAGAGGTGCCAAAAGAACAAGTCAGAATGAAGCGACGAAGACAGAGTCGCCGGCGAGGAGGATACCTCAGCAACAACAGTATGAGGTTTTTTCTGGTCCAGATTCCGTTTGGTCACTGGAAGGTGGGAATGCTGCTTTCTGCAGTATTCCTGCACTGCTGTTGGGGAGACACAAGCATGAGCAGCAACAACACCATCAATACAACGTTGTCCATGATGGAAGACCTGTCAGCAATGCCCTTCAACAATAATCTGTCCTTGAGTACCGGTAACACTACTGCCTTGCAAGATTTGCAACGATTGCGGATTGCTGGACTGTACGATTTGACAATTTTTCCAGACTGGCCGTTGCACTTGATGCAATTTACCATTCATCTCATCAACAACAAGAGAGATGGTTGGTACGACGACGTCTTGCCCGACGCCATTATGGAAGGGACCATGAACGACTCGGCGTGTGATCCGGACATTGCCACACGAGCCTATCTCGGCCTCACAAGAGATGTCGAGTCCCTTCCAGCGGCGATTTACGGATGTCGGTGTTCCGGTGCCAGCATGGCTGTGGCTCGATTATGTGGAATTGAAAATATTGCCATGATGTCTCCCTACGCTTCGTCCGGAAAACTCAGTAATGAAGAAGAGTATCCCACGTTTTCAAGAACGGCAGGACCCGACAATGAACAAGGTCAAGTAGGAGCCTTGATTTCACTCCTCAAGGCGTTTGGATGGGATCGCATTTCGGTCATCAATACGGACACTCAATTCACAAAAGATATTGCACTCGAACTCAGCAATGCATGGAAGGGAAGACACGAAAATGAGGATGGAACCACATTTGTCGGAGAAATTGGGTACACGGATACCATCAAACTCAATGGCACCACCAATGAAGTTGACCCAGAATCTGTACGACGAGTACTCAAAGGAGTTCCCGTCACAAACCCGGAAATCAATTCCAGAATCATCGTCCTGTTTGCGCATCATCAACATTCCTATCCCATTCTAAAACAAGCCCAGGAAATGCATTTTCAACCCGACACGATATGGATGGGTGTCAGTGAATGGATTGATCGAGATCCCGTCGACGGAGATTCCAGCTGGATGCCGGATATACCAGGATATATCGGATTGGCACCCTACCGAAATTTGACTTCACCCTACTACAAGGATTACCTGGCAAGATTACAACAATACGAATGGAGACATGGATTACCCCTCACCGAAAATCTATACGACTTTGCAGCCGATAAAATTGTCGATGGGATGCTCGCATTGGCAATGGCGTTCTCCGCCGTTCCCAAAGATCAGCGACAGGATGGACGACTGGTGTCCGAGGAATTACGAAAGCTGCAATTCAATGGTGTCAGTGGACCCATTGCATTTCAACCAAATGGAGACTTTCTCAATCCACGGTTCACCGTCAAGACGCTACGGTCGCGGGGCTTGGAATGGACCGATGCGGGATTTGTGACGCCCGGAACGGCTCACGTCGATTTTAGCCGCATTTGTTATCCCGTCACGGGATGTGTGGACGCCGTTCCAAATGACGAATATCCCGAGGCTCCAGAAGATATGTTGCCCTTTTGGGTATGGGTCATTCTGGCTTGTCTCATTTTCATCACCATACTGTTGTATCATCAACGATTGAAGAATCGATCGTTCAACAACCAGCTCCAGCGTATCGAAAATGAACTCCAAGCGCTCGATAACAACAATGACGCTGTCAAGGCACGAAAAGGTAGACTCTACAAGGAAGTTGCCAGTTTATTGGGGCAACCGACGCCAGAGCATTGGACAGAACATCATGGATTGGTCAATGTGCCACCGACGCAACAAGAATACTGGGATGTCCTGCACAAGTTGCGGGAGACGATGAACGACAATGAAACGTGCCATTTGTCGCAACTCTCCAGGGTGCAAAACATCGGGATCTGGTCATATTACGTGTTCAGAAAAAATCAACTGGTCAACAAATATGGGGTGGACATGCAAAATGAAATGATCAACGAGGTATCAGTTTGGCATGGAACCTCATCTTTGAATCCGGACGTTATTTACAACGATCGACAAGATGGATTCATGATGCAGCTATCGCAACAGGGACAGTGGGGGAGGGGAATATATTTTAGTGAACGATCGGGTTACAGCGATCCATATGCGTTCAAACCAATGACCAAACACTCTGACGATGTTGTGGGGCAGGACAGGGAGCTATTCCTAGTCAAGTTGCTGGTCGGTGAGTCCGTCTTTCTAGATCGGAACGAAGGTGAATGGATGCGCGAAGCTTGTCGGAATCTGGTAAGGCCGCCTGACAATCCGGCTCGCAATGGCCTCAAGTTTGATACAGTCAAAGGCGAAATCGACGATGAGAAAGGGACCAATGTGTACGTGGTATACGAAAATGGTCGTGCTTATCCAGAGTACCTTGTTCGCTACTACAAGGGGCCCCGAGATAAGGAACGAACTCCGCATGAAACATTGGACGAAGCCTTGGAAGGAGTGAAGAGCCGACACTCAGAGAATACACCGGTGGAAAGTGCCGCAACCACGCAACCCGAGGAAATGGAGGAGGAGGATGGTGGCGACGACGGCGGCGACAACGACGATTCTAGTAGCGTTGTGTCGGGGCAAGCGATCTGGCAATTTGAAGATGACAAGAATCAATGGATAAACTATCTCGAAGCGCACCAGATTCAAATTGAACAAGCGTATCAACACGATCCAGATGGCATCACCACAATAGAGCACTTCCCCTGGACGTACATTATCGATTTCACCGTCAACACTCAAACAAATCTTGATCACCCCGACAAGACCTCGAGAAAGGTTAGAAGGATCAAGATGTTGACGCAACAGCTAGACGACCGCAGTCGTAGCAGCAACCGGACACGTGACAACCAAAGCGACACGGGCAGCAACAAAAGCAACGCCCTGGAACCTCAGAGCGAGAAGGGCGCCCGTCATGGCAGCTGGCAATTCGCCCTGAGCCAGCTGCGGTTGATGAGATATCATGATAGCGGCAGTGATGACGATTACAGCTATTGGGGCAACAGGAGATTCCAAACGAGAGAAGCCAGGACTGAGAGTGAAGGTCGCGGCTGGGCATTTCGTTTAAACCCCCTCGACAGTGGCAGTAGCACCAATGATGCAGAAAACCATTCCAGTTGGGCGTCCCGCTTGAATCCTCTTGACAGCTTCAACAGCAATCATAGCGGCAGTCGCAGTGGCGGTCACAGATGGTACCGATGGATCCATAGACAGGATATTGATGATGGAGGCAGCGGGAGACGCAAAGGAAGCGGTAGCTGGTTCAAGCCAGCGAATCCCAAGCAACACGACAGTGATAATCCAAGCGAGAGTGATGGCGGAAAGGAAAACGTAAACGGCCAGGAGAACCAACAAGGTGTCGGCAAGATGGACGTCCAGGATGAGCAGGACAATCAACCTGGAAGCGACCAAAGTGAAAACAGCTCGAGCCCTGTTAGCAGTGAGATGGGTGGCATAGCTAACGAAGTGAATGAAAAGGTCAGCCTGAGTGACAGTGACAGCAAAGTACCTCACTCCGACACCCTAAGTGACAGCTGCAGGGGCCGCCATTTGGGCTATGTTCACGACCTCGAGAGTGAAGTACATAATGTATCAACTCGGATGGATAGACCACTTCAAGAACTCATCCGTATGATCGACAATGCACCAAATCCAATTGAACGGTTGGACAGCTCGTCAATCTCTGAAGATGGAAGGGAGGAAGAGATGCAAATGAACTACGAAGACAACAACAGCAGCAACAACCATGTCATTCAAGTGAACGATTTGGAAAGCGAGGACAATGAGAGTCACGGGGCAAAAGACTACAAAGCGACTCCTTTGGGAGAAGAACAACCCGGTGAGATGGACCAAGTGTGAATTCAGAAGCCACTACAACTGACAACAAGCTGAGATTCCTTGTAACTCTTTTCGGTGATGGTTACAATGTTGATACAGAGTTTGTAGCACTAGGAACCATGTAGTCGTCTATGTGTGGCCTACTAAGACCATTCCACAGCTCACAATCCTCAGTTCCACCGCTGCCTCCTCCACTTTCGATGGGACATTCCCCGGCGGTCTTGTAGCCCCAGTTTGATAGCTGGCCAGAACAGCTAAGAAGAGCTATTGGAGTGGTCCATTTGACAACTCCACTTGGTTGTGAATCAACGTCTAGGTCTAACTATCCAACTGGTACAGGCACCCAGAAAGGAGCTCTGCACCCGCTGTAAAAGTTCATTTACTTTTTCACAAATTGGATGCTCGAGACTTGAGACCTTGAGACAACAACAGGGAGTGCAACATCCATCAGAGAGCAACAAAACGATAGTCACCATGGAACAGATTGAAGAGCAATCCAAGTACCTTGATGAGGTGGAAGCGGCCAGCAGCTGCGCGAACCGAGACGAGGATGGCAATCAAATCAAATCAAAGGCGAAATTGAGAAGAGCTCCTCCAAGGATACACGTCAGGTGCGAGCCTTCCGATTTTTGATTGTGTGCCTCTTTGTTGGCATCGTGGTATTAATAGTGGTTGGGATTACCTACAGCCTGCTTGTCAAGGAGCAGGAGGCCAGCTTCAATGCGGCGGTAAGTCTTTCACACAAACAGAATGGAGGTTGTCACTCCGGTGCGGGGAAAGCCTTGTTGGACTTGACTCATACCGTATCCATCCTTCTTGACGCTTCTGAAGTTCGCTCAGTTCTCTGGTAGTGTTCACGATGCTCTCCTGAAGCAGCAGCGTCAAACTTTCGAGGCAAGCAATGCCGTGACCAAGTTTATAGAACTGCAATCAGAGCAGATGAATGTCTCCCGGCCCTTCTACAACATGCCTAATCATGACGAATTCTTCAGGGACGTCATTGACCCCAAGGATCTCGAGGCCATTGGAGTCGCAGTCCTCGTCCCACACGAGCACCGCCAGGAGATGCTCGACTACGAGGCCGAGCACTGCCCTGATTGTTTGTACAACTCCCACATGCATCGCTTTGGCAACATTGACATGATCATCCCGGGTGTTGCTGACGAGTTTCTAGCTATCGCTCCCGAAGGCGGGCTAGAGCTCAGCCCTGAAAAAGAATTCTACGGGTTACTTACCTACCGATACATGCCCATGGACAGCTGCAGCGTGCAGATGGATTACCTCTCCGATCCAGAGTACGGTCCATTGTTCGATACTGCCATCCTCTTGGACCAACCACTTATTACCTGTCCGTGGATACGCAGAGCCCTCTCAAGGGTTGGCCAAAATGCACCCTCTTTCAAAATTGCAGGCTGTGCATTGATCTCACATCGAAATCACGTCTTTGCTTCCAGATGTCGCTGTCACAGGGGTTCCGTACGCTCAAGATGATCATGTCTTGCGAATGTGTCGGTTTGCGTCCAACTGCCTCAGCCTCTTTGCCACCACCTTGCATCGTCTGGAAGACACAGTGAGTAGGGCCGATCTGAGACTTCGAGTTGGTATACATTCCGGTGAAGTCACTGGAGGGGTCCTCCGTGGCTTGAGGTCGAGGTTCCAGGTGAGTGCAGGAACTGGCTTACCACGCCCGCCACAGTCACAGTCGCTCACATATCGCCTTTTCCTGCATCCTCCAGTTGTTCGGGGACGCAATGAATACTGCCTCTCGCCATGAGACCACTGGGGCGCCAGGACGGGTTCACGTGTCCATTACATCTGCTGACCTCATCAAGGAGAACGGACATGCGGATTGGCTTGAGAAACGAGAGGACAAGGTGGTGGCGAAGGGCAAAGGCGAACTTGAAACTTATTGGCTGAAGGTCAATGTCGTCGAGGCCCAGACAGAAACAACCTCAAGGGTCTCCTCGGTCAATGGCTGGTAAAGATACTGTGGTTCCGGCGTCGCAGCCAGCTGAATGAGCCTTCGTCCACCGAGCACTCTCCGAGGACGCATGCCTCGCAGCAGGCACAATACCAATCTACAACACGTTCTACTCTAGCTCGGCCTACCGGAAGGACAGAGACCACGAAGACATCAATTCTACATGTACTAGAAAGCTTCAGAAGGTGATAAACCAGGATCACTGACACGGGGCATTCCTCATCACCATGTATCACATCATTTTCAGTTTCACACATTGATTAATAGTTTTTATATCTAAGTGTACTATTCACATCATATTTTGAATTGTTTTTTCTTATGCTGTTTGTTAGAAGCAACGGGTGCCCCAGCAACACCATCTTGTAACTCCAATTTGGTTGAACTGCGTCGTCGTCACTCAGAGACCTTCGGCTGTTGAATGTCATGGATATGGGCCGCGTTGGTTGGAAGGCCATTGCCGATATGATTGCCTCCAATCAATCACTCCAGTCATTATCGCTGGAAAATTGTCAAGGAATGGACGATGATGCCGTCACCGGGATTGTCAATGCTCTGCAACACAACACGACACTGCGAAAACTGGAATTGCAGGTGTTTGCGGGGCATTGCACTCGATTCAGTCAAAAGGTCGGACAAAAGGCATTCGTAGAGCTGCTACGGTCGGGACGCAACATCACCTTGGTGAATCTGTATACACAAGCCAGCGGGGATCTCGAAGCACAGTTGGAGTGTTATTTGAACCTCAACAGAACAGGGTTGAGACCTTTCGTGCTGCAAAAGGAGTTGCCACCGAACGCGGGGCTTCTGACTTTTGGAACTTGCTTCAGCAATACAACAATGATCTGGACATATTATTTTATGTGTTGACGACCAATCCTCCCTTTGTGATTTCGTGTCTTCGGGGATTGTGATCTGTTCGGACCGTACACAGGCGCCAGCTACGGTAGCTCTACAGTATGCCCAGTTGGCCGAGAAGCCACTTTGGGAATTATCGGGACTGGG